CTCATAGAGACTGAACTGCCAAGCAGAGAAGATGCATGGTGAACCCTTGAAGAAGTTGTTGGTGTTTGCCTCCTGGTTGTCATGCAATGTCCTCTACCATAAACTCCTACCATGATGTACTTTCTTCTCAGGTTCTGAAGCAATGGAACCAATAGATAGAAACTTTTAAAATCACTAATCAAACGAACCTTTCCTTCATCCAAGTCTGAGGTATTTTGTCACAGTGATGAAAAATTGAGCATCACAATCACCACCTACAAAGAATTTGCATATGCTTGGGATTTGATCATCCTCTATACTTAGCTATGATATCCAGGGAAAGTCTGCTGCCTGTAGGGCTATCCCTTCATCTATGTTTTCATTCAAAATTAATGGGTGTTGACTAGAGCTTAGTGGTAAATGGATGTTAGTAATGTAGACAGATCATTTATCCAACAAATACTTGTTGACACTGAACTAGATCTTCTAGGCTACTAGTAATGCAAATGAACTCATTTTGTCAATGAAAGAAAGCATGGGACTCCCAGAGTGTTATGAGCCTGTCACTTCTCTCCTTGAGTCTGTGTTCTTTCCTACCGCGAGTCCTTACTCAGGCAGACTGGTATTCTGTCAGTCTAGAAGAATTCTGACACAATATACTCACTGTTGCCATCCAAATTGTCATTCCTGATTTCTCACTGCCAGGCCTGGGGGTGTCCTCTTCCCTGCCAATCCAGAAACATTTGGAAAGCCACTGAAGAGTTAGTTTGCTCTTTGTGCTGGTCTCCTAGCTTTCATGTTCCTTATCTGAACATCATCTTTCTATAGCCCAATATGTGACAATCTACACGTGTTATGTTTCTTAGCCACAGTGGGGAAAAGTCTAGTCTCCTTATGTAATCTCCTTAAGAAAATGATCTAATTTCTTCTTCAATCAGTGAAGAAAAACTGGGTAGCCCATTGAAAACATTCGATGAGGAGATCTTTCAAGCAACATACCTTTTTCTAATAGGTAAGTACTCGTGGACTTAATAAGCACCCACGGACTTGAGAAGTACCCATGGAATAGAAGTAACTTGGCCTTGCTGTAGTTTTTGTTTGATTGGTTTGTTTTTGAAAAATTTGGAGAATCTTAGCTTATAGTCTTTCTCTTTTCCTGGGACAGATTAGAATTTTCAAGGGAGATTGATAGAGACATTTCAATTGGCAACATGGAACAAGTGATGGTAATCATTATTGCATTAAAACCTGCCACTTGGGACACTAAGAGTGTTTTTCAACTGTCATCCTCTTCTTTGTCTTGGAGGTCTTAATATAGACAAACATTTCTTCCTATGACTAGAACATGTTTTTCTTTTTAATTGTTATTATTGCATTTATTTATATTTTGGTGGGGTGGTTGTGTATGCGAGTATGTATGAGCTTGCTACAGCATCTGTGTGGAGGTCAAAAGCAAAACTTGTAAGAGGCAGTTCTCTCTTTCTACCATGTCGGTTCCAGAAAATGAGCTCAAGTCATCAGGCATAGTGGCAACTGTTTTTACTCACTAAGCTATCTCTCCAGCAGCCAACAGTGGAATCCTTAAGATGTGCAGATGAAAAGATTAGTAAAAGATGAATTCTAAACGAAATGTGTGTAAGATGAATTCTGTTCTTTTACTGAAGTCCATTTCATGATGTGAATGGCTTTCACAAGGGAAGAAGTCTTTACTTGAGTAAAGTGTGTACATGTGCACACACACACACAGTATAGAAACAAGGGCTTTTTGCAGCATCCTTGGAAGGAGTTTTCTGATCTTGAACCGTAGTGCTGTAGCCTACTTCCAATCCCTGATTCTGAGTGCCCCCTCTTAACCTACATCACAAGGAAGGATTTGCTGGTGCCCTGACCTCATAACTTAACTTTCTGCCTTTTTTTTTCTTTTGGATTATGAATGTCTACTGGAGTTAGGTTGCAATAACATAATTTGTCACTGTCTAACATGCAGTGTTATGTTTGAGACTTTTGACTGAGCAGAATAAATTACTGTCCAGATTTATTAATGCTATAAACCCAGAGCAGTAGATGTATTTAAAGTGAGAGATAAGCTACACAGCACTGGAAAGTTGAATGAAAAAGGTTCTTGTAGAAAATGTTTCCTAATTTTCTGTCTCTTTCCCAGTGGATTTACTCTCCCCTTTTCATGGGTTTACCTGTAAGCCCTTGTCACCATCTTGGGCCACAGATCATCATGTGCTGAATTTAATGTAGATGTTCTTCACTTCTTTCATCCCTAGAGGGGTGAGCACAATGGCTCCCTTCTGTTCCCTACTTGGCCCTCCTCTGTTCACTATAGTCCTTTTTCTGTTATTTAATCTTTATTATAATTCTATTTTTCATTTACCTTTTAATGTTACATTTCTACATGCATATAAATATATAAACACAATTCGTTGAGTCCACTTGGTGTTCCTTGTATGTGTATGATCTTAAGCTGATCACTCGGTGTCCGTTAAACAATTCCTGGGCTCATCTGCTCATCTCTGGGGAAGATTGATTCCTTCTATCTCAGTAGGCATTAATTACCTATAGCTCTTCTCTTAGTGGTAAGGCCTTGTGAGATTTCCCCCATCCATGCTGGCATGTCAGTTGGTGGTGTTATTGTTCAAGTCTTAGTAGTGGGTCATCTTGGCTCAGATTTCATGGGTATAGATTCCATATGCGAAAGATAAAACCTCACAGCAGATATCCTGGTTCTCTGGCCTTTACATTATTCCCACCTTCCTCTTCCATAACGTTCTCTTCTTAAATGTCCTGTAACTTGCTTGGCCATCCTTGACTCATCTCCTGCTTTACAGACTAAACTTTTCCTCCCAATCTTGCAACTCCCTGCTCCAGGTTATTCTCTCAGTCCTGGTGTTCCTGAAATGGTGGTCACTCTTTCATCATCACATTTTCCAGATCTCTGTCAGTTTTCCTTGTGATTAGACCTAGTCCCCTCTTCTGGATAGTAGTCAATGAGGATGCTTTGTTTCTCTTTAACCTTTTTTTTTAGTAAGAATGATGACAGTCATGTCTATGATGAGTAGTCATGAAGCAACAGTCACAGTTCTATGGATTTGACACGAGTCAACTTATTTTAATCCCACAGAAAGACTTTATAGGCATGTAATAGCTGTATGTCTGGTTGATAGGGCCACAGTTCTGGAGATGTTTCTGTGTGGATTTTTATGGTGGGGATAGATTAACGTTTTAATTGACAGACTGAGGAAAGCCTGATACTCTTCCTTGGATGGGTGGGTTTTATCTGTTAGTTAAAGCTTCGACAGAACACAAAACTAACTTCTCCGAAACACTGGGACATTCTGAGGCTTGGTGACCTCAAGCTTGACCTGTACCATTATTCCTGCTCTGAGATTCAGCTACTGTAAACACAGAAGCCAATTCTCTTTTATTTTAAAGTGTATTTGTCTTTTTTAAAAAATGTGTATGATTATTTTGCCTGCATGTATTAGAGTGCCATGTGTTTGCAGTACCCATAAAGGCCAGAAGAGGGCAATAGATTCACCTGAACTGGAATTACAGATCGTGAGCTGCCATGTAGGTACCTGGAACTGAAGCATGTCTTTCTTCTTCAAGAGCACCAAATGCTCTTAACCACCGAGTCACCTCTTCAGACCCTAACCCTTATATCATTTTAAAACCTTACATACTCTTCTGACTGGTTCTGTTTCTATGAAGGAACTTGAGCAATACAGGTTGGAATTTTATGATTTTCTTATGTTACTGGTATGATAACCAGGTCCAGAGGTTAGCCAGTTTGTTCAAGGTCATCATCATGAGTACCCATAAGTCGTGGAGTTGGAATTCTGTCTGACTCCAGAGTTGCCTTCTTCAGCAAAAAGTTGGATGCATGTTGGCATAAAGAAATTGTATTTAAAGAAAGCTGCCAACACTGGCTTGATACCAGTCCCAGAGAAAGCTTTAAGACATCAGCAGCCCTGTTGGCATCTTTGGTCTTGTAGAGATTTACACTTTCTGTTGGCATCCTGTGATGACTTCCAACAGCATTTTGTTTTGGTTTTGGGGGTGCAATTGTAGGGCCAGAAGAATGGAGTAAGAATGTCCCCACCCCCAACATACACTCACATATGTTGTCTTCTGGAAGCTAGTTGCTGCCTCTATATTTTCAGCCTCTCAGGTTATGAGGCATCAGAGTGTTTAAAGTTTTAATGGGCTTAGAGGTGGCTCTAGAGTCCACTGACATCTGCAATCATGTGTAATTTATGGCTGCCCCTTATTTAGTTAGTTTAGTAAATTGTACCTAAGAGTATTCTCTGAGACTCCGCAGTTGGTGTATGGTTTCACCATTCAGCTAAATTTCTATCAACTATTTGGCTTCGGCTTTTTCTTTTGGATGACATTCTCAAATACTTAATTTAAAGCCTTGGTCTGGAACACACTTTATCAGACTCCTTTTGTGTGCCAGGAGAGCCCTTTAAGGTCTATTCTATGAAGGCTAAAATTCCACACACTAACACGTTTATTTCTGAGTTACTCCTAAAGTCACCACATAGTCACACAGCAGAATGTAATGTATGGAGGTTTCAGACCGCATAATTTGTGTGGCCTCCTGCCTCGACCCACACACCACACCCTACTCTGCTTTTAGTAGAAGGGAAATTCTTTAGTAAGTGGAGAGGTGTGGGTGATTGTGCTTGACCAAAGCATAAAATTAATGTCTTTTGCAAAAATGAAAGAGCTTGCTTTGTTCTGAGGGGGAGAGGAAATGTTTGTCCTCCCTTATTTGTTCAGTCTGACCAGGACCCAAGATTAAGCTGGGTGATTATGAGTATAATTTATTCCCCTTTCAAGTCTGTCAGCGTGTGTGTGGATGTGGATGTTATGTTTTCCCACATGCAGAGGGAAGGTCCATACCTGGCAGAGTTAGATTTAAGGCAATCTGTAAAGTCCCCGAGGCAATGGATTGGGATCTTGCAGTTCAATCTGGGCCTGACCATTCCTTTTTTATCTCATTATAGACAGCTTGCATTTGCAGAGCTAAGCTCCCAATTGTGTTGAGGCCTACACATAATGAAGGTACAATTCATCTGTATTATGACTGATAATACATGGTAATCATGTAAGCTCCTAAAAACCGTAATCCTAAAACAAAAGAATTGCAAGAGAATTAGATTCTCCATTCACATGATCAATCTTCCTTTAAAGTCCAAGAAGGGATTAGAGGTTAAAATAAATCATCTAATATTCTCGTTCTTTTCTTCTTCTTTTTTTAATGAGTGAAGAAAAATCTCACCAGCTTAATGCTTCCAGAGGACAATGGGATTTAGGTTTTAAGCATGTAGTGTCAACTTTTTCCACATTTTGTTCAGGGCTTGTGTCTTCTCCATCAAATGATGCCCTGAGCCAATTGAGAATCTCTGAGGCCACATGACTAATGCCATTGAAGACCAGTTTTATTCTGTATTGCTGATTCTTCCTCCTGCCCCCTCATAGAGGCATCAGACAGAGCACTGGCTTTCCACTTGGTTTGGGACTTTCAACTTTCCAGAGTGATAATATATATAAACATATATTTATATATTATATATGAATAAATAATATATTATATTTGTGTATATTATATTTGTATATTATATATTTACATTTTATATATTTATACATTTTACATATTATATATTCATATATAAAAATAAATACATATTTAAATACTATTCCATATATATATATATATATATATATATATATATATATATATCCTACTACATGTATTTATCATAAGCCAGCCAGTTTATGGAATTTTGTTGTGTCAGCCATAAAGAGCAAATATAAATTGATTTTCATTTTATTTTTCGTTTCACTTATTTAATCTCTGAATTTTTCTACTTTTGACTTTTATAGTATTTTTCATTAAGATTTGAAGACTGCACTTTTATTTTAAAATTTGTTTCTATAATGGCAGTTCTCTTTGATGTATTTGCAGTGGAATGTGACACAGCAAGGGAGAAGAAAGGAAATGTTCATTTATGTCTTTATTACATTGCTTCTGCCCAAACCAAATGACTCCCGGCTGCCTCGTGACAGTGTAGAGTAACTGCACACAAAGTGTGCTGGATGAACTCCCCTTTGGCATCGTTCCCACAGGTGGATGGGCTTGGCTCTACTATACAGAGCTGTCTGCCCACCTTACTCTCCATGAACTTCCTTATGAGTGGCCTCTAGACGGGAGCCCTGAACATTTCCACAGGTAAGTGCTGGCGGGTTGACAGGCAGAAGCCACCAGAGTTGAGCCCACTTCACAAAATGGCCTTATCTGTTAGGGTTGCAGAGAGGATGAACCATGAGAATAGTGTGGTATAAACTAAGGTTTCCAACAGAAGTAACTGATATTACCCCAAAGAAGTCTGTGTGTTTAATTGCAAATCACTTTAGACTTTCTCATGAAAAGGAGCAAACGTTAGAAAAATATATGACCTATATCTGAAGGCAAAAGTTACTTTTTCCAGAACACTCATAAATCTCTTGATACTCAATCTGTGTCCCCTTTCTCCTGTTAAGTACCCCCATTGTTCTTCCTAGCTTACATAGATACTCTCAGTCGTAGCTGCCGACGTGTTGACAATGACCTGGACCATGAGTCCTGTGTCTGCCTAATAGAAACAAATAATTCAGAGGGTCTATCACCGCAAGCCCTCAAAGCACACCAATATGACATTAGCTTTGCTCATTAGATTTGCTAACCCTGATGCCTATAGGAGTTACATTCTAAGAAAGCTAATGTGAGTTTGTGAAAACACTTGCTGAAATTAAGGTGCAATTCCCATGCTTCAGTGGAACTTGTTCATAGATAACATCTGCAGAGGCTGATGGATCATGTGGCTACATGTGGCTTCACCTGTTGATTGCTGTCTCCCCCCCCTTGCCAAGACAGCCTCCAGAGAGCATTGTCACTAAAAACCTCTGAACTTCTGTGCTTGCTAGGTCATACCTCTCAGGGGCCCATAGACTATAGGAGAGTATCTACTACTTCCACCCTGCTATCCTCATGCCATACCTCTGTCAGGATGGCAGGAATCCTGTCCTTCCCTGGGATGAGGGTCTTCTCTTCCCTCCTGCTGAGATCTTTCTTTTGGTTAGCTAAGATTGTATGATCTCTGCATGACAGAGCGTAGTTATAGGAAAAGACCCTGTATGTGGTTAAAACTGATAAGCACAGCACTAAGGAACCATTCAGCAGGGTCAGGCAGAAATCCTGTGTGGCACTGTAATGAGATTCCCCAAGTTGTCTGGAAACATCATGGTTACCATTGATGATGTTGTTTTTTTCTAGTCATGTTTAACTGTAATCTGATATCAAATTTAGAGAGAAAGTCACAAGAATAATGCAGACTATACCCAGTCATCCTTGATTCACTACACATATTAATTCAATATAAATTACCAATTAGTTATTTCATCCTATTTGTATTATGATAGTTCTCTCTCTCTCTCTTTCTCTCTCTCTCTCTCTCTCTCTCTCTCTCTCTCTCTCTCTCTCTCTCTCTCTCTCGCTGTCTCTGTGGGTATAATCATCCTTCCATATCTGTGGGTTTTATTGCTATGGATTCAACCAAGGCCAGATCCAAGATATTCCTTATAAAAGCATCATTATTAAACATATAGTGGCTTTTTGTGACCTTGCTATTTGTTTCAGTATGACAATCCTTTCTGTAGCATTTATACTGTACACAATATAATGCAATTCAAGTAGTACAGAGGTGATTTAAATTATAAAGGAAAGATATGTGTTGTGTGAAAATGCTATATAGTGTTGTATGTAAGTGTGTAGTTTAAATAGGATTGACACCATAGACACATACGTTTGAACCCTTGGCACTATTAGGAGGTATGAGCTTGTTGTAGGAGGTGTGGTCTTACTGGAGGAAGTGTGTCATGTGGAGGCAGGCTTTGAGGTCTCATAAGCTCAAACTATACCTAGTACGACACACAGTCTCCTTCTGTGGCCTGTGTATGAAGATGTAGAACCCTCAGCTTCTTCTCCAACATCCTGTCTGTCTGTATGCCACCTTGGTTCCTGCCATGACGATAATAGACTAAAGCTCTGAAACTGTAAGCCAGCCTCAATTACATGTTTTCCTTTATAAGCATTATCCTGGTCATGGTGTCTCTTCACAGTAATAGAGCCATTATAAAGACAATGAGAATATATAAGGAACATAAGCATCGTAGATTTGGGTTTTGGTGGGGATGAGATGAGGTGCATAACCAATCCCCATGGACGTGGAAAGATCATTGTATAAATCTCTCATGCACATGTACACACATATACATATTATTTTTAATCATTTGAGAGTAACTATGTTTTTTCTAGACCAACATGTACATTTATGCCACTCTGTAACACTGCTGTGTGTGTTCCTTAGGAATAAACATTCTCTAATAGAACCATGACAAAATTTTTAAAATAAGGACATATGCATTTGATGTAATTCTAGTCTATTTCATAGTCCATCTTTAAAGCTTATTTGGCATCCCTTTGGTGCACTGAAGAACTGTCTTCTGTTCAGGACTCAGCCGAGGCACAGACTGCATTTGGGAGTCACATCTCATTGGTCTCCTTCAATCAGGACAACTTTGTTCCTTTTATTCAGATTGGAAAATTTCAGGGCAAATGATGCTCAAGTCAATTCCCGATTAAGGGTTAGTGTGAACATTGGGATGGGCTGCTTTTTTCTTAACTAGTTTAGATTACATAGTTGGCTGAAATGCCATGGTGCTGCACACCACTCCTACTGTACATTGTGAGGAGGCCTGTGCCAGTATCCCATGGTCATGATACTGATGTAAACCATTCAGGGAAGGTGGATCCTTCCAGATGTTTTCACTAGAAACTCTCTAATTTTATCTGTGTAATTAAGAGGTAACTTATTGGGAGACACAGGAAACCATGGGGGAAAGTAAGTGGGCAGGTTGTGAAAGCATTCTGTCATTTTTTTCCTATAAATCACACAACGATCAGGTTTTTATTACTGTTACAATTATTATAAATTTCAAGACTATCTAGAAATCATTTCAGTTGCTTTGGGCTTTTTTTTTTGTCGTTTGTTACAACTTCTGTGAGGTACAATTAACATACAGAAAGTTTTCCATATTTACTGCACACGACTTGATGAAGCTTTAACTTAGTGCAGAGCCATCAGTCCATCACCACAATCGATGCCGCAAATTAGTGCTTCAGTTCCAAGAGCTTTCTTCTACCCATTTTTATTTTTAGCTTTTAAAATTTATGCCACCAATGGTGTGTGTGTGTGTGTGTGTGTGTGTGTGTGTGTGTGTTAAGAGCACTCAGTGTAAGATCTACCTTTAGAGCAAAATTTTACATATTCCATACAGTGGTACTAACTATGCAATCAATGTCAAACAATAGATTTACAGGATTAATTTCACTTATTTTTCTCTGACTCAACAAGAATAATTATTTACTTCATTCAATGTGCTTTTGCACTACTGTCATTAGTTTTGGTTCTATTTAACCCAATTAGCCAGTAGGAACTTCTTCAAGCCAACCTGCAAATTCTTTTTATGTCTCCATTATTCTTTGAGCATTGCTTTCCTATCTAGCACACCAAGAGGCCTGTGAGCCCTTTTAACAGAACTATCACTCATTTTAAAGAGCAGGGTTAATATCACAAGAATTAATCTTGAAGTCAGTATCTCCTTTTGGATGCTCCTGTCCTAAATGACTAGGCAAGGTGAGGGAATGAGATACCTGTACCAGGTAGGGAAGCCAACACCAGTTGCAGCAAGCAGAGCTGAACGTGCATGCACTTGGAGGAAGAGCCTCTGTAGGGAGAGCAGAGACCAGAGATGAGATGGAAACTGGGTTTGTTTGTTGTTTTTTCACTTGCTCCTTATTAGAGCATCTTTGGATGGTCTCTGTTATGGCTTTATGATAATTTCTGCATTCCTAACATACAGATTTGAGTGGAAGAGGAAAGGTTATACTAAAAAAGAGTCAAGGGTCTTAGATAACGACAACGCCCACACCTCAACTAAGAGTGTTCATAATGGCACTTACATTCAGTCTTCTCTTGTTGTGGTGGTGGTTTGAGTACTCTTGTCACTCTGTGGCTTTTGGATACATCACTGTAGTCTCTGCTTCTGTCATAACCTTTTCTTCTTTCTTTTATGTGGGTGTGTTTGGATTTCTTTCCTTAGAACACACCAGTCCATGATTTAGTCCAACTACAATCCTGAATGTATTTCATCTTAATGCTACAATGTCTGCAAAGACTCCATTTTAAATGAGGTCATATATGTGTGTGTGTGTGTGTGTGTGTGTGTGTGTGTGTATATATATATATATATATATATACATATATATATATATAATCATATTCATGACTTTATATACATTGTATAAATGCATGTTTCTATATTATATACTTATATAAACATATAAAAACTATACCTCTGGTTCACATATATGTCTGTATATATAGACATATATATTTTTATATTATATATAAATACACAAAATATGCATATATATGTCATATTATATATTTATATATAGCCTAATTTATATATAGTATATGAATATACTGAATTCATACCCCTTGAGATGTACACACACACACACACACACACACACACACACACACACATAACTCTGAAGGGCAGAATGGCTCAAGTCACAGTAGGGAAGAGTAAGATGATGCATATTGTGTTTCAAAGTAGGATCTAATGCTGGGAACCATAACTATGTTCTCCACTCATATTTTGCAGTTCAGTATTTTCTTTGCTTCTTGGATTACAGATGATACAAAGCTACATGATGCGTTGACCTTAGGTTAGCTGCATCAGCCTTAAAAATCAGAACAAGGGGCTGGGGAGATGAATTGGTGGTTAAGAGCACTGGTTGCTCTTCTAGGGAATGCTGGTTTGATTCCCAGTACCACATTTCTGATCACAAACATCTGTGTTTCCAGTTCCAGGGAATCTGACACCTTCTTCTGGCCTCTGAAGGCATTGCACACACATGATGAACAGACAGACATACAGGTAAAACACCAATTTATATGAAATAAAAATAGATAAATCTTTTAAAATATTTTTTAAAAATCAGGAGATTCCTCAAAGAAAAATGCAAGACATAGAAATATGGTAATACATAGTGAAGAGAAATTTGGGGATGGCTGTTTATTTTTTATGACACTTTGGTCAGCTCTAGGTGGATTCAGAAAGAGTCAAGCGAAAGTGAATTTTAAAGAAAACAATAAAGAGTAGCACTTGTAGGGCAGTGGGCTGTGAGAGGCAGCTGGGTGCCTGGTCGATTGCAAGCCTCAAACCCTGGATACCCTAAAGGGACAGTAGGAGTTCAGCCTTGCTCCTGGGCCCTGGTTCTTTTCACTTAACATCAGCCATCTACAGCCCCTCCCAAAGAAAGGTATGTGGCCTTCAATCAAGTAGCACAGGTAGAGGGCATGACTACAGGTAGCAGAGCCTCAAGAGATCTCCATAATAATGAGATACCTAAAGGCAAGAGGGCTTAGCCAATTAAGCATTACTTCCCAGACCCTCTTCCTACTTGCAAAAGATATTTAACCTCAGGCCTATGCTGAGGACATGGGGTACAGCTTCATCTGCTTTCCGCCATGACAATAAACATTTTAAGATCATGGACTTCCTCTTCTCTTTGGGGCTCGCTGTGGAGAACCATAGAGGTAGCCTTCAACCAGTGAGCCACTGCCCAATCTTCCGCCGGAGGACCTCTCTGCTTTTCAGCCACAGAGGCCCGCCAACTCAAGCAGCTAGCCTAGCCAGCTATGACCCAACCAAGTGAGTCACCTCAACCAAAAGTCTCATCTACCCCTCAGGGCACCACCGGAGCTTCTCTCTTGCCCCGGTCCAGCCCATATGCCCCCATCCACCTCAGTCCTTCTTCAGTCTTCAGCGGTGCCTAGAAGCCCAAGGGCTGAGACCAGCCGGTCTCCCACCAGCTGCCTCGGCCTGGAGACCCCCGACCCAAGAGCTCTGCCCCATCAGGACCTCAGATTGGGATCTCCCCACTATCAGAGTGGAACTCCCTGGCTTCGCCTAACCTGGCTTCCACCAGATGCTGTGTGGAGTGAACTCAGTCAAATTCCTGCGCTTCTGCCCCCCTAGCATCCTTGGACAGCAGACACACAGGACACACAACTCAGCCCAACAGGACCCATGCCCATACTCGAGCCACAGACCCACAAGCACTGGTATCTGGAAGCAACAGTCCTCGAACCTGTAGCTTTGGTTGCTGCCTGAACACATCATCACTGGGCAGATGTCATTACAGAATGACTTCTTGTGTCGGCTTTTCGGAAGCTGGTGTGAGGTTCTCTACAGGTTTGTTCTTCTGTCTGTCTTGCAAGAGTCACTCTGGCAATTATATATAGGAACCCCTCTTTTACACCTTCCTGGATTTGATTACCTTTTCTTTGCTAGGGTGGACAGGAGTGACTCCATGGTTTTTGTTTGTTTGTTTTGTTTGACATTTTTACCTTTCTGATTGCATTGGCTCATTAATTCACTACTAGTTACATATTTTGGTTTGCAGAATATAAAGTATACATTGAGGCAACAAAATCTGTGTCCTTTAGCCATAACATACAATGGTGCTATGTTCTTGGGGTTAGGTTTGTAAGGAACAGAAAAGTCGATGTCTATCTAATGATCTGATCCTTTACATTAACTGTTCTGTCTGGAATCTCTTTGAGAGACAGGCCAGGCTCCACCCCAGACTGCTCTAATGGCTAGTTCCCAGCCCCCTGAGAAGTAGGACCACAAGTTATAAAATCCCACTAATCCGTGAATTTGCCCCAAGATCAGGCCACAAAAACTGTCAATACCGGGCCACTATGGAAACTCCCCCCTGCACCCCACTCCACAAGAACTTGTATATAAAGCCTGCCTCCTGTCAGTTCTCTGCAACTTCTCTCTTAAGCAGAGGCAGCCACCCTCCTGTGTCTATCCCCATAAATCTCTGTGTGAAGTTTGTTGTGTGGTGTTAACTTTGTGGTATTCCTTGACTCCCAACTGCCAAGATACCTTCCTCCTCAGAGATGTAACATCTACACTGTCATATTCTGTTGCAGGAAATCTTGTAGAATCATGGTGTCTAGGGTAAACATTAGAATGAAGAGTTCTTTTCTAGAAGTACTTTGACCTTGAAGAAATCATTGTAGGAAACCATGATTGTTTTCTGTTATCTATAGAGTTGTTTTCTGAGCGTTACAGCCTGTGCATGATTTTGGTTGCAAGTCTTGCATTACTGAGTACGTCAAACAGTGCATAGTCAGGACTGAAGATGCAGGTGTGTGATATTTTCCTTCAGGAAATGTATAGATTAGAATAGGGACTGAAGTATAAGGAACTTGTTTACAGAAAAATAACTTTTGTGTAACAACTGATAAATTTGCTTTTGCTCAGCTGTGTGAGATTCAGTCCAGATAGGCTGGATCTCCCTGCTTCTGTATTCATCCTTGAGTGAGCCTCTTCCTTTAATTGTCCCTGGAGACTTAGAACACTGACAAAATTTCCAAATTAACAAGAAAGAGAAACCCATTCAGGCACTGAAGCCCTGACACGGCTCTCTACCATGATTATATTGATACTGAAGTTATTGGGTGTTTTGAAATCTGTACTGAAAAGGCAAATCTCTTTTGTTCTTGTGTGTGTCATATAAAGAACTGACTGCAGAGCTGGAGAGGTGGCTCAGCTGTAAGAGCACTGGATGCTCTCCCAGAGGACCCAGGTTTGATTCCCAGCACCTACATGGCAGCTCATAACTGTGTTTTAACTCCAGTTCCAGGGAATCCATTGCCTTCCTCTTCTCTTCATTTTTTCATGTAACTGGTATAGATTCACAATACACTTAATTAAACACAGTAAAAAATATATCTCTTTTAAAAAAGAATTGTTTCAAGTTCATTACCAAACCGTGGCTGCCCTGCTGATGTAAGCCTTTTTGAAGAAACTGAGTCAAATATTTCCATTCAATTGGTTTTTTGCAGGTCTTCTTGTAAGTTGGTCAAACTCCTCACTTTGCTCTGTCTGACCACCACACATTACCAGAGCAACTAAGCATCCATGGCTGCATCAGGGATGATATACATCTTGGACCACCTACACATAAATCTCAGTCAATCTATTAATTTAGAGGAAATATTTCAGGTATATGACTGACCTGAAGTAAATGAATACAATATCGATAAATTACTGCAGCCATGTGTATTATATTGGAAACTTTCAACCGATGTTCTCCTCTGACTTAAAGGCTAAGGTTTTTATTCACAAATGTTGGTAAGTATCTCATTTCCTTGAATGTTGGTAAATACCTCTGTTTCCAACTGCATCCTCCAAAGGAACATCTTCATGCCTGTAATTGCTTTGGCTCTCCACTACATGTTGTACTGGGCATAGCTTCATTTATCATTTAGAATTCCTACAGTTCCCTCTTTCAACTAAGGGGGTTAGCTCTAACAATTTGTAGAGTGGAGAAATGCCCGAAACACTGGAATTCTGGGCTGGTTTAGATTACAGGTTCCTTTGCTTGTGTTCTTAGAGAACCCATGGCGGAACACCTAATTTTTCTCTCCTCTCATGTCAACACAAGTGGAAAACCTGTCAGAGATTAAGCTGGTCAGTCTCACCTTAAAGAAAAAAATAATTTTTTTCCAGGAATGTTTAATTTTGGGAGTGTGAAAGAGGGAGAAGATTATCCTGTTCTCAAGTAGCATAGGGGAAAGATTCTATGTCCTGGGAAAGTCTCCAGAAGCTGAAATTGTGTGTGTGTGCACACGCGCACACACACACACACACACACAGGGAGAGAGAGAGAGAGAGAGAGAGAGAGAGAGAGAGAGAGAGAGAGAGCCAGTGAAATGGGGTGGGGGAAATTAGAAAAACCCTACAGCTTGAGAGCCAAGTAGTTGTGGCTTGATGCATCCTGCATCTTATTTTCTTTGAATTTTGCCAGAAAAAAAAAGAAGCTGGCAAGACAATAGAAGAACTGCAAACAATGTTGTCTTCCTTTGCCAAGATATAAATACAGAAGAAATGTCTGAAAGGACCATGTACGGTATCAAATTATCTGCAAAGTAATGACTTATATTCTCCATTCCCCGGTGGGGTGACTCAACCAACTGGAAAGTGAAGTCGTCGGAGTCTGCTTACCCCACAGTGAGGATGGAAGGCATGTGGCTGGGAAAAGCTTATCTGATCAGACAAGTTCACGTGTCACCAGAACACGTGTGGCACAAGGTGCGGGCTAACTGCTTCCTTGTGTTCATTAGGACGGATTAAAAAAAAGTCATACTGGCTTAGGACATGTCACCTGGGCCATAGGTGTCGTGAGAGTATCTAGTGTGCAGAATGGTGCTCCACACACAGGCAGTAACTGCACTTGCACAGAAAGAGGCATCCTTACTCACCTGCCTTCGACAGCTCCCCATATAGTCTTTGTTGTTCTATTGAAGCTAGAATTCTACGACACAACCCATTCATTAGTGTGGGTTTTAAAAATGTCTACTTACTTGCTTCACCTATGAGCTGCCAGGACTCAGCACAGCATGAAAGGCAGCTACCTGGTAATTATGGATTTTTAGTAAATAAAAGATTGATGTAACAGTAGTGGCCTTCTAAGGCTGAGAATACTGGCTTGAATATGCCACCCATTCTCATGACTTTCTTCAGAATCATGAACAAATTTTTATACCAGTAAGTATCAAAGAGAAAAATCCCCTGTTTGATAAGGGTAAAGCAAACCAGATGTGCACTGTTGTTTGACCCCAAGTATGAGCAGAATGGAAACTTTGGCAGGAACACTGCCCACCTCCTCTGTAGACTCAGCAGCAGAACAGTGATAACTGTGTGGGAAGGCATTTGCTTTTGTTTATTATCGTCCTCATTGTGCAGCTTGAACCAATCCAACTCAAGAGTTCCTACACCGAGGGAAACACCAGCCAAGAGATACCTACTTGGCGTCTTGGGTCACTACCCGACTGGGACTCTGAAGTGTGTACTTTTCGTTAATCAAAACACAAGTGGGCAGGAGATTTAGTCCTCAAATGGGATTCTGGGTGTGCAAGGAATCCAGAGAGAGAAAATATGAGTATATAGTGATATCTAGAAGGCTGTGCAGTGGAAGTGGGCTGTCCTGGGGAGGCAAAGCAAAGGTAAGAAGACTGCTGCATACATGCAAGCTCTCCAAGAAGACTCACAATCTTGCTGGCATGGGAAGCTCTGGCTGGGCCATGGGTAGAGTCAACACCAGGAGGATGCCTAGGACTGGAAGGAAGGGTTGTAGCCACAGGAGAAACCAGGACCTGAGGGTGGTGGCATTGAGGTGTGGCATCCTGGTTTTCCATCTTTTTCCAAGAGTCAGGGAACAAAAGGCATCCTGGACTCCAACCTCTAGAGGAACATCATGCTTTTCTCTTCGTTGCCAGTTCAGTGGCCCCTCCCAGTGCTCGTCTCTAGCCTGCTGCTTGGTTATTGCTGTTTTTTATTTTCGTCTTCTATTATATTGGAGAGAGGAAGAGTTTTGCCCAAGAAGAGAGGGATTAGTAGAGGAACCTTCCAAAGTTGTCTATATCAGTCATTTTGTAGAAAGGAACTCTATTGGTTCCCCTGTCTTCTTTCAGGAAAGAACTCTCTCCCCAGCCTCTGCTGGCCACAGGACAGAGCTCTGGATAATGCTGTCTTTTCTGTGAGTTGTCTAGTGGCAGTGCAGGGTGGCACTGTGCAAGCGGCTTAAGATTGCATTTTTCTTCTTCACCAAAAAGCTCTTTTGGCAAAGGCAAAAAAAAATTATAAAAAAAGCAAAAAAATTATCATAAATAAAGGAAAGTAGTTTGTCATTATTTTGAAAAGAGCAAAAGTGACGAATTTTGTGACAGAGGCCATAGAAGCTTGTGGAGAAAACTTCAGGCCTCAAAAGGAGGCTAATCTATTCAGCTTCATATACTCCCTCACACCGCTTCCCCCCATCCCCAGATTCTCACCGTGTCTGTCTTGGTGAACATGGAGAGTTCACGGTGAGTACAAACCAAAGAGAAGGAGGCCTGTTTTCCTTTACCCACAACAAGCTGTCAAGCTCCTGGAGCACCTAATAGCTCAGATCTGCAGAGCACTCTCTGTGTACCCCACAGCGATTTCTCCTCTGCACTTTCAGTTTTTTTTTCCATCGTTTCAGAAATCTGCATTTTCCATGATTCCCTCACTGACTTAGCAAGCTATTCACAAAAAACTAACAGACAGAGGGAGTCAGGGCCTCCACTCCATGAGAACTGTTTAGTGTCACTTCTTCCTAATCTTGGAGGCAAAGGGATGCTGAGGAGATGGGGGCTGGGAGGATAGCTCTGTGAAGTAGAGCTGCTTGCAGTTAGCGCTCAGAGTTTAGCTCCGGGATGTTGTAAGAATGTGTTCCGAGCCCTTTGAGTGCCATGAAATTAATACAGCCATTTATGAGGCAGTTATGAGAAGCTTCAGTGATGTCTGAACTCTCCAGCTTTTTTCTTCTTCTTCCACCGACACTCTCCCTTCTTCCAGACACGCGGCTAGAAATGGCTTCTCCCTTGGCTGAGATCTCCATGTTCCACATTTCTTCTCATGTTTCCGCTTTTTATTTCTGTTATTGTTCCTAGTGGTCCCCCTCTTTTATTATTAAATTTATATTTGGTTCATCTCGGTCTTCCGATTTTCATGTTTTATTTCTTTCCAGCTGGCAATCACGCTTTGGACTCAAAGCAGGTCAAGTATCTCCCCCTCTGTTCCTTCACCTACTCCTCACCCACCTTTTCCTCTCAGGCACCACAGAACTTAGGTCCTCCCCTTCCCTCCCATGCACACCTGCATTTTCCTTTCCAGCGCCACCCCCACCCCAGACTCTCACAGAAAACCACTTAAAATCACTTGATGTTGTTTTCCCACCCTTAACTCATCATTACCCTTAACTTCCCCCTTAGCCAGCACAGAGTTAATATCTCTGCATCTTCCATGGTTCTCCTACAATTAAAAAAAAATAAGGCTATTATTACAAATAGCCTTATTGAGTTTATCTGATATACAATAAATTCCATGTTTAATGTATGTAATCTGATGAATTCAGACATACACAAACAGCCACGATGCCACTCTCACAACTACAATAATGAATGTATCAACCTGTTGCAAATGTTTTCCGTGTGCCCCATAAATTTGTAGGTATCATATATTATTTTATTAATGGCAGGCATGTGATGTCTAGCCTCAACAGTCAACTTGATGGAATCTAGGGTCACATGGGAGAGGGGCCTCTGTGCATGCCTGCAGTAGATGGTCTTGGTTAGATTAATGAAGTGGGAAGACCTGCCTACTGTGGGTGACACATCCTCTAGGCTGGGATCCTTGACTACTTACAAAAGAGAAAGTGGGTTGAGCACCAGCATCTGCTTCCTGACTCTGTGGATGCATTGTGACCAACTGCTTCAAGCTCTTGCATCTGGGACTGTCCTACTTGCCTTTCCACCATAAGCTGAGGCTCTGAGGAAGCTTACCAATCTTTTCAATTTACAGTTGGGATAACTGGGTCACCACGTTCTGGAGCTAAGACAGAGGTCCTGGTCTTCATAATCTCACCTTTCAAATAAGCAGAAACCTGGGCACATTCTGACCTTAAGCAAAGGCTGCCTGCAAAGCACTACAGACAAATGAAGAGTTGGCAGGTTTAATGTATCTCAAGTATGTCACACTCAGAACGAATGTGTTAACACCAAGAGACATGTGATTAAAACCATGTTTGCTTTCTTGAGATAGAAATCCTGAGAAAGAATGGGGAATCTCAGGTTAACTTTTTACAGTCATATCTATTTTACAACCACCTAGAAAATTTTGGACCCATGGTTTCTTTCCTCTTTAATAAGTTCTCCCTGACAAACAAAGGAATCAGGAAAAGATCCTCCAACAGTACTGGTTTGAACTTGGGGCCTTATATCTTTTAGACAAGCATTTGGTTACTTAGCTATATCCTAATCTCCTTTTATTTTTACTACATGAGTGTGGACTACCACACTGGTTCCTTGCTCATTTTAACATTTGTAGATGAGGAAGCCCTTGCCTCTGACCCTTCTTTTAAGCCTCTTCACAAGAGTATGAGCAGGTCCTCAGGGCATCAGAGGGAACCTTCCTCAGTGTTTGTAAAGAGATGAGACAGTGAAGCAAGTACCTGCCTTAACAGAACAGAGATGTTGTCCATGTGTGGGGTGGCTGCTTTCTTAATGTCAGGGAAAAAATACTCTCCCACTTGCATTTTTAAACATCCATTCATTCACCAAACATTATTTATTGAATTCCTACTGCACATGAACTGCTTCAGGCTGTAAATACAGCAGGGATTTAATCTCTATCAAACCCCGTTCTAGGGACTGAGAATATCAAATGAGAATTTCTTAGGCCATTGCGTGTGGTCAGTGGAAAGAAACACACAAAATACTGAATCCTACATGTAATATGTGTATTTCCTCTCTATTGCTCTATCAACCATCAGAGAAGTGTCTCTCCTTTCTTAAGACTCTTGTGTCAGAGCTGCAGAAGTAAACAAGAGGTGAGGCTTGGAGGTAGGAGTTTGATCTCAGAAAATCCTAGGACATCTGCAGGAACCTG